GAAGATGCTGGAATAAACAGCCTGTCACAATCACCAGCAATCTAGCACATGTAAAATACTGGAGAACTACAAATCTGCCACCAAATGAACTACAAATCCCATTATACCTGTACTTTCACACAACTGTTCCGGTTCACCTTTCATTGCAAACACAAACAGTACAGGGCTAATCGAATCAGCTATAAAGACAGCACACACACACACACACACATTGTTGCTGAGTCTTGTTTACTGTTTTTGTGACATTACGACACGTTTCCTTTGCCTTGCCATGTTTGACCCTTGCTTTGTTCTGATTGTTTACGTTGCTTGCTGCCTATACCGACCATTCCCCTTTTATTTGACCCAGACTCTGGTTTCCCTGTATATATCTGTTTGACCCGCCTCACAGCAAGAAGATAACTGGTTCGAGTCCCGGCTGAGTCAGTTGGCGTTTCTATGTGGAGTTTGCATGTTCTCCCCGTGTTGGCGTGGGTTTCCTCCGGGTGCTCAAGTTTCCCCCACAGTTCAAACACATGCACTATAGACGAATTAATGAGCTAAACTGGCCGAGTGTTTATGGATGTTTCATGTTTCCCAGTACTGGGTTGCAGCTGGAAATGCATATAAAACATATGCTGGAATAGTTGGCGGTTCATTCCGCTGTGGTGACCACTGATGAATAAAGGAACTAAGCCGAAGGATAATGAATGAATGAATATTTAAAGTGTTACTGTCCCTTTAAGAGTGCACCGTTTGATTGACAGGTGTGTACTGACTGAAGAGCAGCGCAGGATGTTTGAGAAGCTCTCCCTGTACTGTGATCAGTACGCTCAGCTCATTCCTGTGTCATTCGTACTGGGTAAATAAATGCCACTTAATATAGCATTTTGTATTAAGAGGGAAAACGTGTGGATCTCTTAAGATGATGAATGTCTCCTGCAGGTTTCTATGTGACTCTGGTGGTGTCCCGCTGGTGGGGTCAGTTCGAGAGCGTCCCCTGGCCGGACCGCCTGTCAGCTCTGGTCAGTGGACATGTACGGGGTGCAGATGAAGGAGCCAGACTCATACGCAGGAGTTTAATGCGCTACGCAAACCTGTCCGGCATCCTCATCTACCGCTCCGTCAGCACGGCTGTCTACAAGAGATTCCCGACCATGAGCCACTTGGTTCAAGCAGGTAAAACTCTACTGTTCCTCTTCATGTGCACCAACACCTGCGTTTATGCACCTCCTACACTGTTTAATGACAAAAAAGTCAAGACGACAAATATTTTTGTGTTGCTTGTTTTTAGGTTCACAATACAAAGTTAAACTTTGTTTTTGCTACGACATTGTGGAAATAGAAATGGTGGTTTCTAAAATAGAAATTTTGTACATCGTTGTCGCAGATGGTTAGAACAAACGCTCATTTTAACATGAAAAACATAAACTTACCGGCCACTTTATTAGGGGTCCACCTGTTCTTTAACCAAATTTCTAATCAGCCAATCAAATGGCAGCAACTCAATGCATTTAGGCATGTAGACATGGTCAAGACGATCTGCTGCAGTTCAAACCGAGCATCAGAATGGGGAAGAAAGGGGATTTAAGTGACTTTGAAGGTGGTCTCAATTTCTGACATTCGGATGATCGGGTCAGAATTTGGCATCAACAACATGAAAGCATGGATCCATCCTGCCTTGATTCAATGGTTCAGGCTGCTGGTGGTGGTGTAATGGTGTGGGGGATATTTTCTTGGCTCACTTTGGGTTCATTAGTACCAATTGAGCATCGTGTCAACGTCACAGCCTACCTGAGTATTGTTGCTGACCATGTCCATCCCTTTATGACCACAGTGTCTCCATCTTCTGATGGCTACTTCCAGCAGGATAACACATCATGTCATAAAGCGTGAATCACCTCAGACTGGTTTCTTGAACGTGACAACGAGTTCACTGTACTCAAATGGCCTCCACAGTAACCAGATCTCAATCCAATAGAGCAGCTTTGGGATGTGGTGGAATGGGAGATTCACATCATGGATGTGCAGCCGACAAATCTGCAGCAACTGTGTGATGCTATCATGTCAATATGGAGCAAAATCTCTGAGGAATATTTCCAGTGTCTTGTTGAATCTACGCCACGAAGGATTAAGGCAGCTCTGTTGGCAAAAGTGGTCAAAAGCGATACCAGTGAGGTGTTCCTACTGCAATAAAGTAGCCAGTTAGTGTAGCTTTATTGCCTGTAGTTAGGACACGGTGTAAGAATGAGCCTTTAAATGAAACATCAAATGAAAAATAAGTTTTAGTTTTAACAAGTTGCCAAACAAAAAAGCCTACACATTAAATAAAATATAGACTAGCAGCACTCTGAAACATTACAAAAATATGTGCAATTATAACTGACCTTTTTCTCTTCGATCTCAATTTTTCATATGTACTTTATTTGATGTACTTCATACTTCTGGAAAACTTGCAATTCTGAGTGTGCTCTACTCAGTAGGTGAGTGCAATACAAAAATATCTGTAAATTAGCAGTTTTTCCATTTATTTTAGCTTTTGGATTGCATTATGGGATCTTGATCTTTCTTTTAACCAACTTTTATGTGACCAATGACTTTTATGAACATTTTTAATAGTTTCAAGAGTTCACACTTAGCTGATGATTTATAAAAGCTTGTTTGGCATGCTGTCCCGGGAGAGAGCCCCGAGCTCAAGGGCTCCTCGAGCCCGGGGCTTCCTCCCGTTGGCAGAGCAAGAAGGGAGCCCGAGCTCGGTGGATCTCAGAACTCCCCTGCTGCTGTAGCTAAGGGAACGTAAGGAATTAGACAAGCTTGATTGTTATGTATGTTGAATGTCTTTGGATGGTGGGAGGAAACCGGAGAACCCGGGGAAAACCCACGCGGACACGGGAAGGACATACAAACTCCCCACAGAAACACCCACCGGTCCTATAGAACTAGGACCGGCAGTATTCTTGCTGTGTGGTTCGCAGTGCTAACCACTGGACCGCCGTGCCGCCCAATCACAGGTAAAGGAGGAGAATAGGGGAGGAGGGGGGTTTCTTCCAAACGAAGATAAAGTGAACTGAAAACTGAGGCTATTTATGGTGCCTTAGGGCTCATATGATTGGAAGATTAGTGATTAGCAAATACGAGACTGGCCGTGATAAATCATAAGCACGTGATCCTCTCGAAATTAGTTTATGAATAAACTTCACTTAAAGTAATATTTTGTCTGGGTTGGTGTTGTATTTACGCAACAAAAACCTTGTAATAAACTGCCTGACCCTCCGCATGGGAGTCGGGTGTTCTACCAAGGAGGCTAAAGACCATGGCCTCTTGTGTCTGTCGCTAGAGCACCTTTAGAGGTCAGAGGAGTGAGGTTTACCTGCACAGCACTTACTAGCTGGCCTCCTTTACACTTGCATGGTATTTATTATGCAATATATTATTTCAAACTGTTAACATGTCAATAAAAGTCACAGTTAAAGTTGAATTTTCAACATCAAAAGTCGACAAAGCAGAGATCAACATCCCATAATGCAATTCACAACCGTACTTTACAACTTTCACAGCTGTTCATTAACAGATAGTTTTTGCCGTGTGTGCTGGACAAATCCCCTATTGGACACACGCTCTCCTCTTTTTTAAACAGAAACGTTGACTAGTCTGTCATAGCATTGATATACTGCTACTCTCTGTTGATTTGAAGTGCTTCTTTCATCCTCGCTTTGGATACAATTGTCTGCTAAATGAAAAATGTCAATGAACTGCCCAGAAAGTGTTAAATTCAGGCCAAGAAATGTGTCCTAGAATAGCGATTAAAGCCATGTTTTGTTCCAGTACCCTCTGGTGTCTGGGATTTACACTCAAAGAGGAAACAGGAAGGAATTATTCCAGATTTCCAAGAGCTTTAGCAAGAGTTTTGAAAGTAGTTCATGCAAACATGAAAATCCTGACATAATTTGTCCAAACAACATCACAACATAAAAACTGTTCTCCGCAGTTTATATTCATATTTAAATATAAGTGAATTGGTTTGGAGGCAGAAAAGTACAATCAAAGCGATCATTTTAGTGAGTGGAGAAACCAATCTTTTTAATTGAATCAATGAAATGATCAACCCAGGCTTACTCTGATCTGTGCCCCTATACAGATTTCTGGAGAGCACCAAATACATCCCAGGAGCTACTTTTTTTTTGCAGGTTTTGTTTTCGCAAATCCACCAGAGGCTGCTGTTTACGCTTTTTGAGATCTCACATTTCTCTCATGAATGCCATTCGGGCATGGTATTCTCACGTAAATCCACCAGAGGTCGCTGTTGACTGACTGTTTAACTGACTGACCGATCTACTGACCCTCCCTCCTTCTTTCCTAAACCCAACCAATTGTATTGATTGACCAGCCCCCACCCACTTCCCTAAACCCAATTAACAATTTTCAAAAGCAAACCAGAAAAAGAAAAGCCCTCATCTTATTTTACCATGTTTTCAGATTTTACCACATTGTCACCCTGTTATTTGCCTTTTTAGCTTTTGGTTTTGTCTTACCTGCTTTCTGGAACCGTTCTTCACAGGACTCCAACCCCATCGTCGTGGTCAACTCCGCTCTACATCTCAAGTCCGCCGATGTACTCAGCAAGCCAACAGGACAAACTGGTAACAGCGGGAAAGCTGTTCATATGGAGGTAAGCGGTCAGCTGGTAAACGCGAAAAAGGACGCCATCATAGTGTTCGTTTTAAAAGTGAAATGCAGCCGTAAGTACTTCTGGCTGCGTAATGCGTGATCTCCAGAAGCGTACTGTATATTGGGCTACGTTTTCAGAATGAGCCTATGTTGGAAATGATTCACTGAAATGATTCACCTACTGGTCAAAATGGTGTAATTACAACAAAAACAGTGCGAACAACGTGCTAAAATATTTGTTTTTTAAATTATGTTTAAATTTTTTATTATTTGTTTTTTTAAAGAGAGAGAACTTAGCAGGCTGCGCTTTAAGAAAACACATGCAATCCCAAAAGACACCAGCAAAGTAAGAAAAGATCTTCATCGATTTAATATAGCGTACACAGGGCTTAATTTGTGCTGGAAGACGCAGGATCCAGATCCGGCACCTCTGAAATCTGATTAGGCACCTCATTTTACCAATCCTCCTCCTCAACTGCCCTCCTCCCTCGTCCTGTTAACTTTCAATTTCTTTGGCAAATCCCTAACCCTCTTCACATTCGTCTGCGGCAACCAACCCCCACGGCTCTTAACTTACGTTCGCGACAACCCTTCCCCATCCAACGCCCCATTAGCACCCCAACCCTCTTCACATTCGTCTGCGACAACCAACCCCCCCCCTCCAACCCCCTGGCTCTTAACTTACGTTTGCAACAACCCTCCGCCATCCAACGTCCTGCTAGCACCCCCCTTGCCACTTTCGTGCGCGACACCTTTACTTCCTCGGGTAACATGCCGGATCCAATCCCCCGATCTGTTCTGGAACCTTGCAGTTCACAAATTAAGCACTGAGCATACATGTTGCAAATTATCACATTGCACACAAATTAAGAAAATGCCTTACATGGGGACCCAAAAACGTGACAGACTGTCAAATAAATTAAACTGTAAAATTAAAATAAGAAACACTAGAAGTTAGTTTTAGTCTGTTAGGTTTAAGGATAGTTCCAACATCCTTAAAACTCCAACATCCATGCTCATTCTGAGAACGTAGCCCTATATACATTACTGGAGATCGGAAATTATGTAGCCAGAGGCACGTTTGACTGCATTTCATCTTTAAAACGAACGCTGTGGGGGGAATGAAGCTGTTCCTTTTTGCACTTACCAGCTGACCGCTTAACTCTGTATGGGCTGCTTTCTTGCTGTTACCAGTTTGTCCGGTGGCTTTGACGAATAAGTAAATAACAGGGTGAGAATGTGCTAAACTGTGGTAAAAATCAGGCGAGGGTTTTCTTTTTCTGGATTGCTTTCTAAAAGTGTTAGTTGGGCTTAGTGAAGTGGGTCAATCGGTTTTTGAAAACACTATCGGTTGGGTTTAGGGAAGGAGGGGTCAGTCACTTGGTCAGTCAGTCAGTCAGTCAGTCGACAGCGGCCTCTGGTGGATTTAAGTAAGAACAGCAGGCGTGAATGGCACTCGTGAAAAACATTTGACATTTCGTACACGTTGGCCTCTGGTGGATTTGCAAAAATAAAAACTGCAAATAAACAAAAAAAAAAGCAAAAAAAAAAGCAGCTCATGGGATGTATTTGGCGCTCTCCAGAAATGTATATAGAAGTGCGAAATAAAAATGAGCCTTGGTTGGATATTTATTAGCTAGTGTGCTCTTAAACAGTGTGAAGTGTTTTGGACTCTCCCGCAGGTCTGATGACAGCGGAGGAGCTGAGGCAGCTGCAGGAGCTTCCTTCACCTCATAATAAGTTCTGGGTTCCCTGCATGTGGTTTGTCAGTCTGGCTATGAGAGCTCGATCTGAAGGACGAATCAATAACGACGTCGCAATGACAGCCATCCTCAACGTACGTCTACAGATTATGACTATTCCACTCACTATGGGGATTCTCATTGACTGGCACACGAATGGCACACTATACACTTATACACTATGTAATTACACACTCAACAGCAAGGTACATGAATTTAGTGTCATCCCAAATGGAACACAAACTTTTTTTTACATACCTCAAATTCAATTTTTATTATTATTTATACTTTTATAACATTTTTGTTTAATTTGAATATTATTATAATACAATCTCAATTAACTTATATAATTAAAAAATTATAAATATATATTTTTTCTCCTGGTAGGAACTGAACACGCTTCGGTCTCAATGTATGAGGCTGTACGGATATGATTGGATCAGCTTACCTCTCGTTTATACACAGGTTTGATAAAACTCATCTAGTTTCTTCTTCTACTAGTATAGAGAAAATAAAAAAAACTGCCATAACAGTTCAGATTTCCCCATCTTGATGATATGAAATGAAACTAAACCGAATAAACCAATTTTGTGTGATTTTTGTAGTGTCTTCTGCGACAATCAGTACTTGGTAAGTGATTTATTTTAACATATCCATCTGTTGCCTGATTAATCTCTGTGGAATACAAATTGGAATACAAATACAAATCTCTGTGATCTCTGATTGGCTGGAGAAGCTAGAAATGATCTCTGATTGACTGAAAGAGCTAGAAGTGGTCTCTGATTGGCTGAAAGAGCTAAACATTGTTTCTGATTGGCTGGAAGAGCAAAAAATTATATCTGATTGACTAGAAGAGCTCAAAGTTGTCTCTGATTGGCTGGAAGAGCTAGAAGTGATCTCTAATTGGCTGGAAGAGCTAAAAAGGCCTTTGACTGAATGAAAAAGCTAGAAATTATCTCTGATTGGAAGAGCTAAAATGGTCTCTGATTGGCTGGAAGAGCTAGAAGTGGTCTCTGATTGGCTGGAAGTGCTAAACATGGTTTCTTATGGCTGGAAGAGCAAAAAATTATATCTGATTGGCTAGAAGAGCTCAAAGTTGTCTCTGATTGGCTGGAAGAGCTAGAACTGATCTCTAGTTTACTGGAAGAGCTAAACATGGTTTCTGATTGGGAAACATTTTGTTCACAAAAAAGGTTTTTAATGTTCGCTTGAGGTAGTTTTGGACTTTTTGAAAAAAGTTAATATGAATAACTGGAGATGAAAATGCATTTGCCGAATACACTCTGATGTAGCAAACGTTACACTCTTGTGACCAATCAGCTGTCTTCTATATACTTGCCTTGTGTTGGTTGCTAAGTTACCAATACTACAGTCAGCCCCTCTAATGCTGGGATTACACCAAATATCTTGTTCTAGTTTACTCACAGGATGTTTTTCATGCGTTTTTCGCTTGTGTTTAATTATTTGACATTGTGTGGTAGATGAGATTGAGGTAAAATCCATGAATTTGTGGGAAACGCATCATGCATTTTGCATCATTTGCACTGTGTAGTTATAATTTCTCTTTATTCACGCATTTTGGTTTAATATTTGTGTTGACTTTGTATATAATTTACTCATGCAAATACTTAATTTCACAATAGGTGTGGAGCCTGAAACTCAAGCAAGTTCGGAACAGCTGAATAAATGTTTATTTTTGTGTATCCATGTGTATTTTATTAGCCGGGATCCGATAATAACGTAAAGCAAGTCTATTAAAAAAAAAAGTTCACAAAAAAAGACAAAAGAAAAAATCCCAAATGTGAAGTATTTCCATCAAGTGGTGTGTTTCCATCAAGTTTTTAGAGGAGCTGACTGTAGTATTGGTAACCTGGCAACCAACAGTAAACAAACAAGGCAAGTCTACAGCACAAGCTCATTGTGGATACGTACCCCTGTCTACAATTCTGGAGACCGCAAATGATGTACCCAGAGGTGCGTGTGGCTGCATTTCACCTGTAAAATCAATGCTACAGGGCGTTATGACGACGTCGACGGATTCTGCTCCTTTTCGCACTACCGCTGACTGATTACCTCCATGTGTATGGCTTTGTCGGTGTAACCTGTTTGCCCAGTAGCTCGCCGCGTACGCCAATAGACTTGGGATGCGGAGCAGAGCTGACAGGGTTCAAGTCCGCAAGGAAAAAAAACACAGGCTCAAATTATGGTGAAATCACGTGGCCGCGACGGCTTTTCTTTTACTACATTGCCTTTGAAAACACTATTGGTTGGGTTTAGGGAAGGGGGTGGGAGGATTAGTGGATCTAGTGGATTTATGCAGAAGAGGACATGAAAGAGGAATTTGAGATCATCTGGTGGATTTGCAAAAACAAAAGCTGCGAGCACACATATCTGCGGTTACGTATTTCGCTGTCCCCAGAAATGTAGACCTGGGTTTGTATCTGCAATGAGCCCGGGTTGCAAGTATAATGGAGACAGCTGATTGATTGATTACATGATTTTTGGCAACATAGGCTCATTCTAAAAAAGTAGCCTTATATACATTTCTGGAGCTACGGAAAAGCGTACAGAGCGGCCTCTGGTGAATTTGCGAAAACACAAACTGCAAAAAAAAGTAGCTCCTGGGGCATATTTGGCGCTCTCCAGAAATATATATAGGGGTACGTAATCAGAATGTGCCTGGGTTGGATTTTGTCTACATCAAAGTTTATTGAGCAAATGTGTTTTCATCTTTCATTATTTGCTTTAAGCCTTTTCCAAAACCATTTTCTTCACGAGCTTCTTCACGAATTAGGATTTTTATTTGAATTTTGGCATTTCCATCACTCATACAATACGATATGATACGATACGATAAGATGCAATACGATACAATACTTCATAATTACACAAAGTGCTGAAAACCCATCTACTGTATTAACACTAATATTGTTTATATAACATTAGATGAGATTAGCATCCTGCTCTCTCTTACAGGTGGTAACCGTGGCTGTGTACAGTTTCTTTTTGACTTGTCTGATTGGTCGGCAGTTTCTTGACCCCGCCCAGGGTTACCCGGGTCACAACCTCGACTTCTACCTGCCTGTCTTCACTTTACTCCAGTTCTTCTTCTACGTGGGCTGGCTTAAGGTGTGTAAGCGTATTAGTAAAGCATCCCATTAGCTGACGCTTCACAGTCTATAATAACTGGTTGTAACTACTATTTAGTGCTAAATAACCTCAGCGTAATGATAGTGTTCAACTGTGGCTGACATGACATATACTAAACTTGGACGAGCATACATATTTAAATAACACTGATGTAATGTAGCTACATCATCTTAAAGAATAGTTTGAAAATAGTTGCTTTGTTTAATTGTTCTTTCAGGTTGCAGAGCAGCTTATTAATCCATTTGGGGAGGATGATGACGACTTTGAGACTAACTGGCTGGTGGACCGTAATTTACAGGTACACCATCATCATACACCACACTAATAACATGTCTGTGGAGCTGTTGTGTGGATTTGTGTGTCTGGTTGGACAATCTCTCTGTTAGATTTTTAGGCTTGTAGGAGCACTTAGCATTTGTTTGGTTATGCATGATGGGCTGAAATGATTTTATGTTGACATCGCACTAAGTATATTTGGTCACTGATGCCACTGGAGATATTATGACACCCACTGTTCTTATATTTCACATAAGAATGTTTCTAAAAATAAAACATTTATTTATAGGATTTAATAATGTGTGCTCCTACAGTATATGGGGTGTCCTGGGGTAGAGGCACCATTTTTAAGTACAAAATGGTCAGTATTTAATAGAAATGGAGCTCATATGTTGTTAAATTGTCCAGAAAGGCACATTTAAATGCTCTGAATTTAGAAAAACATTTATGATTTCAATAATAAGTTGACATTAAGTTGCTATTTCGTTGTCTTTTGTGATAGAAGTGATAATATGATAAAAAATGGATTGAATTATGACAGAAAATGCATAGTTATTGTGTCAGGTGCAGTGGTGGAAAGAGTACTGAAAAATTGAAAGTGAAAGTACCATTACTTGTCTAAAAATGTAGTGTAAGTAGAGTAAAAGTATCTGTTGTCAATATTACTCAACGTATGAGTAAAAGAAAGTACTCAAGAGTAGTGAGTATTACGCTGTTAAGAGTTTACATGTAATTTGTGCATGTGTGTGTAAACGTAACATTCTGTAGTGCTTCGAGTTATTGCCCAGCAGGCAGCTGTTTGCACTTTTTCGCCTCTCAAATGTCTCTCGTAAGTGCCGTTCGCACTCACTGTTCGTACGCACTGTTCTTGTCGAAACCCACCAGAGGCTGCTGTTGACCGGCTGAATGATTGACTGGGCGACCGGCCAATTAACGGACCCACCCTCCTTCTTCCCTAAACCCAAGCGATTTTACCGATTGATCTGCACGCCACCTCACTTCTCCTGAACCCAACCGACGGTTTAGAATAACACCGTCCAGAAAAAAGCAAAGACCTCGATTTTTTTTACCACATTTTCGGATTTTACCACATTCTCATTCTGTTATTCACTCGCTCGTTTTATTTTTTGGATTCTGTTTTTGTCTTACCTGATTTCTGGAACCGCTCTTCCCCGGACTCGAACTTGGTCATCGTGGTCAACTCCTTCTCTCTGTCTCAAGTCCGCCAACATACACGACGAGCTAACCGGACAAACTGGTAGTGAAGGGAAAGCCCTCCACACAGAGGTAAGCGGTCAGCCGGTGAGCGCCAAAAGGAAAGGCGTCATACCGCCCCATAGCGTTTGCTTAAAAAATGAAATGCAGCCATACATACCTCCGGCTCCGTATTCAGAATGAGAGTGGGTTGGGAAAAGCGTACACAGCGGCCTCTGGTGAATTTGAGAAAACAAAAACAGCAAAACCTAACCTAATGTTAATGTCAAACAACATCATAAGACATTAACATTAGGTTAGATTGTCTAGCCAGTGTCTAAGGACAACGTTATTTGTTCAATAACAACATCAAATGACGTTGATATTTGGTTGACTTTAGGTTGTGTTGGAAAGTGACCAAAATCCAATGTTGAGCAAACATCCAACATTATTTTGGCATCACATGCTTCCATGATTTTCACGAAAAAACAAAATGCAACATCCCCATGACACTGGGGTACAACTTCATTCTGATATCATGTTGACGTCTTGTGCCTGCTGGATGTTTAAAGCCATTTCGATCATCATACAGTAAACATCCGTCATCTTCTTATCTGTGACATGCATCTTAACAGTGCCCGGGTCAATGCATGTAAAGATTTTGGACATCTTGTACACTTTTAATGCTTCCAAACAGTTTACTGCAATTATAAAGCGCACATGTTTGGGGTAGGGTTGGGTATTGTTTATGGTTATTTCAATACCGGTGCTAAATCGATACTTTTAAAACGGTACCAGTGCCAAAACGCTGCCTGAACCGATACTTTTCAGCCACAAAAGTATTTGACAAAAATAAAAATTATTTTAATCATTATAATTGAACAGTATAATTATTTATTTATAATAAGTTAAAAGTAAACATCAATTCATATATATACATAAATATTTGAATAGCAGTAATATATTTTTTTGATCAACCCTATTTTGAGGTAGTTCATTATGAGGCGATATACCTTCTATGTGAGATTTGATTGGACAGGAATCACAGGACTGATTTTTCTAATCCTCATAGACAAGAAATAATAAAGTAGTGACTGCAGGTTGAAGAAAATTAGTGGAGTAAAAGTACAGATACAGCACTAAAAATGTACTCAAGGGAAAGTAAAAGTTCACGTTTTTAAAACTACTTACTAAATTACAATTCCTGAGTAAAACTACTTAATTACTGTAATTTGAGTGTTTGTAATTAGTTACTTTACACCACTGCTTTACACCACTGCTTTTAATGTACATTTAAATGCTCTAAATTTAGAAAAAAATGCTTATGATTTAAATAATAAGTTGAAAATAAGTTGCTAATTTGTTGTCTTTTGTGAAAGAAGGGATATTTGTGACAAAAAAAAAATGCATAGTTATGGTGTCAAATGGAGATTATAAGTTTAGTGAGGTGAAAATCCTTCATTTTTGTGATATCAAGTTCAAGTTTGATACATGAGATTTGTTAGCTATATGGCTATCATTTATTTATAGTGTTAGTTTAGGGGATTTAAATAGTTAATAATTAGTATATAAACTTTACCATGAAGGCATTAACTTTAAGGGCCCTATCATACACCCGGCGCAGTGTGGCGCAAGGCGTGACGCAGTAGTCTTTTGGTAGTTTCAGCTTGGCGCAAGAGTGGTTTTGAGGCGTTGCGCTACGCTGTTTAAATAGCAAATGCATTAGCGCTCATTTGTGCGCCCATAGGCGTTCTGGTCTAAAAAGGAAGGCGTTCTGAAGCGGACCGCTGCCGCGTCGCTATTTTGAGAAACTATAATAGATTTTTCATTGGACCAAAACTAACCCGGTCTAAACTCTAGGTCTAAAGTTGCGCCTCGCTTACACACTGCTTAATACGCACAAGAGAGCAATAGGCACATATCTTTACATATGAAAAAATGTAAATATTAAGGATATATATAGGATATAATAAGAATAGATATAGGATATAAATATAAAGGATTGAAATATTACAAAACATATTATTTTCTAGCCTACATAAATATGAAAAACCACTGCTTTTATGCCTTCTTCATCTCGAGAGGCTTTTTCAGTTCATTCATAACAATTTGCTTTTGTATAATGTTATTATTATTAGCAGTATTATTTATTATATCCATATTTATATTTGTTTTATTAAAAACAAGCTTAGATTTGCCCACCTGCAGGTTTTAGACCATATGGGGCACAGCATGTGTTTTAGGATATAACTCAGGTTTTTGAGCACATTTTGTTATTATTGTTCATTTATTCATTTGCTGGAAATTAGAACTGAATTTAGAAATAGTTTTGAAGCGAATATTTGCACTTAACAAACAAAATTATTTATTTATAGACTAATGGATGTCTGTGCGTAAAGGTTTCCCTATCCAAGAGCGAATGTGAAAGTGATCCATTCTCTCTCATTCTCGCGCAGTAGATGCTCTGTTTAACAGTTTTCTGTTAAAAACTGTTAACTGTTTGCTTGTGAAATGCTCATTTTTTCCACTTAGACTTACTTTGCGTCCTGTAAATAGCAAATGCGCTCTTGGCGCGACGCAGCTGGCTCTTAAAGGGAATGGGAGATGAGACTCTGATTGGTTTATTCTCAAAACACACCTATAACTCATTAAGAAAATAAACTCAACCCTTTTAGACCATGCGCCGCGGCGTAAAGCGGATTTTCCCGTCCTGAAATTAGCAAAAACGCGTCCTGACACGCCCTGAAAGCGTTTGCACCCTGCGTTTTGCGCTCTGCGCATGGACCGTCAAAATAGAGCCCTATAAGTTTAGTGAGGTGAAAATGCTTCATTTTTGTGATATCAAGTTCAAGTTTGGTACATGAGATTTGTTAGCTATATGGCTATCATTTATATATGGTGTTAGTTTAGTGGTTTTAAATAGTTAATAATTAGTATATAAACTTTACCATGAAAGCATTAACTTTAAAAGTTTATTGTTAAGTTCAACTTTAAAGGGCTAGTTCACCCAAAAATAAAGATTTACTCACTACTTACTCACCCTCAAGTGGTTCCAAACCCTTATAAGTTTTTTCTTTTGTCAAAGACTAAAGAAGATATTTGAAAAAAGCTGAAAAGTTTTCCAGCTTTCTGGTTTTCTAGATAGTGAACTATCCCTTTAATATTGCACTTGTTTGAAAGTACAAACATTAATAGTCCAGTTTTTTTTTTTTCGCAGGTGTCTCTGCTGTCAGTGGATGAGATGTATGATCTGGTTCCTCTGGTTGAGAGAGATAAATACTGGGATGAAGCTGAGCCTCAGCCGCCGTACACCGCCGCCAGCGCAGAACACCGCAAACCCTCATTCATGGGATCTGCGCTGGACATCAGGTGAATGGACATCCTCACACACAGACAGTCATGTGCAAAAGTTAGCACACCCTATTAAACGTCATGCTTTTTCTGTATCAGAACATAATTAAACACTATATGGCAGAGACTGTACAAAGGGCATGTGCAGGATAAATTTTTTGAAGACTGGGGGGGGGTTGTTGTTGTCGCTCACGTACTGAAGAGCGGTGTTGTCACGCGCGTTCTGATCAGTGGTGTTGTCGCGCGCGTACTGTAAGTGGGGGGTGGGTAGCGTGCATACTCAAGAGCAGTGTTGTCGCGTGCCTACTAAAAGGCGGTAGGGGGGGAGGTTTCGCTGGGGCACTTTGGATCATTTTGGAAGGGCACTTCTATCCAAGACTAAAAAGGGCATGTGCACTGCACAGGTTGAGTCCTATGTGTGCACGTGCCTGCTATATGGTCATTGGCAGGTCTTCAAAGTAGAGCATTGACAACGGAAAATGTGAATGACCCCTTGTGATGCATAAGAAAGCTATATTTCCAAGACTTCGAAGCCTGTTTTGTCAAGTTAGGTCAAAACTAATTTACAAGATCACCATTTTTTCTGTCTTTCAGCGTTCCTAAAGAGGAAATGGAATTCCAGCACAATCTGGAGCAGATTAAAGAGCACGAGGAGGCCAATCACTCCACTCCATTCCTGGGCAGCTTGAGTCGACTTCTGGGCGTTCAGTCGCCCAATTTCCCCCGCTCGACCCCTACATCAAGAGTCTCCCTCCTGCGACGCCGACCCCGTGCTCCGTTCTCTCGTTTCCCACTTTACCTCCATTCTGAGAGCTCACAGATGCCCAGCCACAGTCGCAACACGGATGTGAGCGAGGACGCCTTTTCAGCAATGCCTCTGTATGAACGACCCGGTTTTTACAGCTGCCCCCAAACGCCCATCCACTGCATCCCTCCACCCGTTCCACGACCAAGACCACGGAGAGCGCATGGTGACAGCTCCAGCTCCTTAACACAACCTATGGTGGGCTCACAAATCCTGGCTCTGCCTGACACACCCGCACCTCCTTCATCCGCCTTCCCTTGGGTGGGGGAAGACAGCGAACATCCGGCGTTCTCCTTTCCAGATCCTGTCCCTGAAATATGTCCGTTAACCAAAGCACGACTAATTCAAGGCTTACCATCGCGCCGTCCTCTCCCTCTGCGACTATCTGTCGATAAATCTCCATCTCCATCTACACCAGAGAGGGTGTTTTCATTCACACCGCCATCTTGGCCGCAAACGCAAATCAACACCGCTAGTTCAGTGAATGTGAACGTGACAAATAGTAATAATAATCTGTGCAACGGCACAGCAAACAACCCCTGGCCAATCAGCAGAAGCAGCAATGCAAGCACAGCCAATCCTGTCAGCACGAGCCCTACGGCGACTCAGCACTCAGCCAATCAGCAGAACTCTCCCAACGATTCTGGAATCTCATTGGCTGACGGGGATCTGTTGGGCGCAGCTGTGAAAACAAGGGAACAGCTCTAAGTCAGGTGGAGAGAAAATCTGAAAGTTGTTTTTCTTTTGACTAGATTTTAAGGAAATTTTGTTTCAAAAATGCAACCAATGTCAGTTTTATCACCCCAAAATCACATTATGATGAAGAAAGTGGACAATGAATCATAACCTGATCCAAACTCTGACAGTTTTCACACATTTTTTTTATTAAATTGGTTTATGTAGGCAGAGACTAACTAAATAGACTAGTAAATACACTTTGAACAAGCTGATGTTGATGAACAACCTGTGCAATTGTAAAATCCTCTAGCCAATCACAGAACAACCACTGGCCAATCAGAAGAAGACCCACCACTACAAGAACAGCCAATCTCGTCAGTACGAGCCCTATGGCGACTCAGCCAATCAGCACAACTCCCCCAATGATTCTGGGATCTCATTGGCTGACAGGGATATGTTGGGCAGTTGAGCAGTGAAAACAAGGGAACAGCTCTAAGTCAGGTGGAGAAGAAATCTGATCTAGTTGGTGAAGATATTGTTTTTTTTTTTTTGACAAGATTTAAGTAGTTTCTGTTTCAAAAATGCAACACATGTAAGTTTTATCACCCCAAAATCACATTATGAAGGAGAAAGAGGACAATAAATCATAACATGATCATAACGCAAACTTTGACATTTTCCACAATTTTTTTTAAATTGGTTTATTTAGGTAGAGATTAATTAAATAGACTAGTAAATACACTTGAACAACCTGAGCAATTATAAAAGTCCCTGGTCAATCACAGAACAAAGCTTGGCCAATCAGAAGGAGTACCACTGCAAGCACAGCCAATCCCATCAGCACGAGCCCTACTGTGACTCATCACTCAGCCAATTAGCAGAACTCTCCCAACAATTCTGGAATCTCATTGGCTGACGGGGATCTGTTGGGCGCAGCTGTAAAAACAAGGGAACAGCTCTAAGTCAGGTAGAGAAGAAATCTGATCTAGTTGGTGAGGATGTTGTTTTTTTGACAAGATTTAAGACGTTTCTGTTTTAAAAATGCAACAAATGTCAGTTTAATCACCCCAAGATCACATTATGAAGGAGAAAATGGACAATAAATCATAACATGATCATAACAAAATGCTAACTCTGACAGTTTCCACATATTTTTTTTATTAAATTGGTTTATTTAGGCAGAAACTAACTAAATAGACTAGTAAATACACTTGAACAACCTGTGCAATTACAAAAGCCCCTGGTCAATAACAGAACAACCCCTGGCCAATCAGAAGAAGAACCACTGCAAGCACAGCCAATCCCATCAGCACAAGCCCTACGGCAACTCAGCACTCAGCCAATCAGCAGAACTCTCCTTACAATTATGGAATCTCATTGGCTGACGGGATCTGTTGGGCGCAGCAGTGAAAACAAAGGAACAGCTCTAAGTTAGGTGGAGGGAAAGTCTGAAATGTATTTTTTTTAACTAAATTTAAGACGTTTTAAGAAATTTGTTTCAAAAATGCAACATATGTCAGTTTTATCACCCCAAAATCACATTATGAAGGAGCAAGTGCACAATAAATCATAACATGATCATAGCATAATGCAAACTCTGCCATTTTTCACATATCTTCTGTTAAATTGGTTTATGTAGGCAGAGACTAATAAATAGATTAGTACACTTGAACAACCTGTGCAACTGTAAAAGCCCTTGGCCAATCACAGAACAACCCCTGGCCAATCAGAAGAACAACCACTGCAAGCACAGCCAATCCCATCAGTGGCTTTTGCACTGACTGACTGATTCTTTAATTCTCAAAATGATGTCAAAATCAAAGCTTCCCAGACACACAACATCATAAGACGTTCATTTTAGGTTAGATTTAAGTCTTGATGTCAGGTGACCAAAATTCAATGTCTAGCCAGCATCTAAGGACAACGTTATTTTGATGCACAATAATGACGTGAAATGATGTTGATATTCAGTTGATTTTAGGCTGTGTTGGAAAGTGACCAAAATACCAACGTCACACTGATATCAAATACTGAAATTCCTCGTCAGGTATGGCAAACAAAATCCAACGTCTGATGATATTTTGTGTTTATAGGTTGCTTTGGAAAGTAACCAAAACGCAACGTCTATCCGACGTTAGACATTGACATCACCCTACCATTGGGTTCTGACATCACCCCGATTTTCATTTTCACCCAAAATTCAATGTCCCCACGACTTACGACGTCAATCAGGCGTCATGTTGGCATCCTGTGCCTGCTGGGTTTGTCCGTTTCTGGCTTGATTTGACTTCTTTTATTGCTGGCTCACAATGAATTATCATTTATTTTTCAAAATGACTTTATTTTAATATGATTAATATGCTATTATAATAATTTTATTTACATTATTATTAGTTTTTATCATTGTGTTCCAATGTTTTCATAATTTTGTCTTTGGCCCTTTTTTATTAACTCGCATTCACTCAGTGAAAAAAAACTTCATAAATTATGCAACTACCTTTTAAGCCTCATTAATTATGCATGAATATTCTCAGATTTCCTGTATTATTTTTGAACCATTTCAGTCAGTTCTCATCAGTTACTTCCTGCAGTATAATACCTTTGATACATTATATGTATATGTATTAATAATAGTTTAAATAAAATGTGCTAAGACAAAAAAAAAACTATGTATCTTTCCACAGGATCCTATTTGATAGGGAAAATATTAAGCAATATTTTCCTGAGGTTGTTTTTGTGTTGAGCGGCACAGTGGCTATCACTGTCACCTCACAGCAAGGTTGCTGGTTTAAGTCCTTGCCGGGCCAGTTGGCGTTTCTGTGTGGGTTTCCTCCAGGTGCTTCAGTATCCCCCACAGTTCAAACACGTGCTATAGGTCAATTGATTAAATTGGCCGTAGTGTATATGAGTGTGTGTGTGTGTGTGTGTGAATGTGAGTGTATGGGTGTTTCCCAGTACTGGGTTGCGGCTGGAAGGGGATCCGCTGCAGAAAACATATGCTGGAAAAGTTGGGGGTTCATTTCGCTGTGGCAACCCCTGAAATAGAGACTAAAGCTGCGGTCACACTGGGCTTTTCTCCCCATAGACTTCCACTCTAGCGTCTGTCGTTAGAGCACGTTTAGAGGTCAGAGGAGTGAGGTTTACTTACACAGCACTTACTAGCTGGCCTCCGTTACACTCACCCCGCTAAACCTCACTCCCATCTGGGCCACGGCACCAATGTAACCCCGTCGGTCCTACTACCATCCAACCCGCTCCAAGCTGGTATCGAACCGGCAACCTTCCGCATAGGAGTCAGGTGCTCTTCCAAGGAGGCTAAAGACCATGGCCGTTACACTCGCTTTTTTTTAATGTCTAATCATCTTGCTTAATCCCGCCCCTTTTCGCAGCGCCGTACGACAGAATTTCGCACACACAAACTTTAGTGTGGCCGCAGCTTAATCCGAAGGAAAGTGAATGAACGAATGTTTTTTTGTGTTGGTTTCTACTATCTTGGATGAATAATAAATAAAACCATTCGAACTGCTTCAAGAAAACAACATTGCTTGTATCATATTACATAACTATACAATGTCTTATAATGATTTGAAAAATATACGTCTATACATCTAAAAGAAACACACAAAACATAAATCACCATTTTAGGCAGATTTATTTTAGACACCACCTCATTTGATTGATTACATATATATAATATTGCATAGTATTACAGTAATACATGTGACATATACAGTTGAGGTCAGAATTATTCGCCCCCCTGTTTATTTTTTCCCCAATTACAGTTTAATGGACATAAGATTTTCCCTAAAACATTTCTAATCATAATAGTTTTAATATCTCATTTCTAATAACTGATTTATTTTATCTTTGCCATGATGACAGTAAATAATATTTGATTAGATATTCTTCAAGACACTTCTATACAGCTTAAAGTGACATTTAAAGGCTTAACTAGGTTAATTAGGCTAAAGTTAGGGTAATTAGGCAAGTTATTGTATAACAGTGGTTTGTTCTGCAGACAAGTCATAACAAATATAGCTTAAAGGGGCTAATAATATTGACCTTAAAAAAAATGTTTTTATTTTAGCCAAAATAAAACAAACAAGACTTTCTCCAGAAGAAAAAATATTATAGGAAATACTGTGAAAAATTCCTGAATCTGTTCAACATCAAAAAATTCACAGGAGGGTGAATCATTCTGACTTCAGCTGTATGTTGTTTGGACATCAGCTATGGCTTGTGAAGGGTTCAGTAACTCTATAAACTACAGCAGATTTCCCTGCATATGGCTGACTGATGGTCTAAGAGCTTTCTTTGCCCAGAGTGTGTCTGTCGAACAGATATTCAGCCATGTTGTTTTGAGGGGCTCCCATGCGCCGAAGACTGCCCACCCAATCCGACAGCTCCTTGATGGACTTCACCTGCTCATCCAGGTAATGCGTCTCCAGAAAATCACACACCTGAGAGAGAGAGAATCAGTGAGAAAGAGCCAAACTGAGGAGTCATTGCAAGCACAGCCAATCCCATCAACACAAGCCCCATGGTAAAGCTGCAGTCACATTAGAGTTTGAGCATGCGATGTTCTGCCGTGCGGCGCTGAGAAAAGGGGCGGGATTAAACAAGATGATTAGACATTTAAAAAAGCGAGCGATTGCTCCATGTTTTAAATGTCTGTCCAGAGAGGTCATGTTTTGATCCTCGGTTGGTCTCAGTCAAGTGATGTGATTTCGCAGGTCAATTCACCAACTTGAACTTTGCACCGGAGCAACCTGCGAAACTTAATGCATGACCCTGCGTTTCTGGTCTGACGCATTCGCGTGCGTATGAATGGAAGTCTATGGGAGGAAAAGCCCAGTGTGACCACAGCGCAACTCAGGACACAGCCAATCAGCTCAATAACTCTGACGTCTGATTGGCTGGATTAGGTGCTTTCATGAAATTGAGGCAAAAGCTTGTAGTTATGTGGAAAAAACAGCTTAGACTTGTATACATGCCTATATTTAAGACATTTGAACTCAACATTTTAGGCATTTTTATTGAGATCAGCTCATTTGAATGATATATACATACACACACACGCGCGCGCATATATATATATATATATATATATATATATATATATATATATATATATATATATATATATATATATACGCTAAAAAAGGAACATAACCATTATTTTAAATGTCTGATGGTAAATCAAACTAAATGTTTACTATTTTAGGTCTGCTAGGATTACCTAAATGATTTACATTTGCTAAATGCCAGAATAATGAGAGAATTTGTTTTTGAGAATTATTTATTAACTTCTAGACAGTCAAAAGTTCACACACATTTCCTTGTTTTTTTTTCTAGCTTTGCTTTTAAACTATAACTGGTCAAGTGTTTTGGGTCTCCTTCCACAAGCTTCTCACAATAGTTTGCAGGAATTTTGGCCCATTCCTCCTGACAGAATTGGTGTAATTGAGTCAGATGTCATGGCTGTCTCGCTCGCACAAGCTTTTTCAACTCTGCCCACAAATTTTCCATAGGATTGAGATCAGGGCTTTGTGATGGCCACTCCAAAACATTCACTCTGTTGTCCTTACTAGTGATGGGCCAATCATATGCGTTTAGAGCGGGAAGAAGAATTGAACCGTTCATCTCTCGAGTACCTCAGGTTTGAGTCATTCTGTCACGTAAACAACGAATGATCATGGCTCCTATCGGCTCAGACTGTGCATTGATTAAGATTATATGTGACTGTCAGTGTAACGTGGATGAACCCCTGACATTTGAAGACATGAAGAGGTGAGCTAAGCAAAGAGACAACAATACCTTCATAGACAAAAGAGCAGGTAAACATTGAATTATTATTTTTTCCTTGTTATATTCTAATTATGACTTATTTGTCATGCAGTCAACCTTTTGGGTTAGTTGCAGATGTGTTTGGAAGCAATTCGTAACATTTTAATAATATTGTGGCAAACTGAACCAAATGAACGAAATGACTCGAAAAAAGATTCGTTCATCTTGATGAACGAGACTCAAAAGATCCGAGTCAGTAAGATGATCCCAACTTCCCATCACTAGTCCTTACAACACATTTGAACTAATTTGGCAGTGGTGTGTTTAGAAGACCCATTTGTGGCCAAGTTGTAATTTCCTGGCTGATGTCTTGAGATGTTGCTTCAGTATTTCTACATAATGTTGTTTCTTCATGATGTCGTCTATGCTGTGAAGTGGACCAGTCCCTCCTGCAGCAAAACAGCCCCACAACATGATGCTGCCGCCCCCATACTTCACAGTTGGGATGGGGTTCCTAGGCTTGTAAGCTTTCCCCTTTGTCCTCCAAATGGTCATTATGGCCAAACAGTTCAATCTTAGCTCCATCAGACCACAGGACATGTCTCCAATATTAGTCTTTTCCCAGTGTCATTAAGCAAATTGTAATCTGGCTTTTGTTGTTGATTCTGTTTTGTTGATTTTCCCATGTTGTCACACAAGGAAGCAGTGTGTTTGAGCTTTTCCTAAAATACTATTCTACAGTTGTGCCTCACAATAACTCAAATGTTGTCAATTAGTTATCAGAAACTTCCAAAACCTTGACATCATCATCTGAGCTTTCCAGAGGCAGAATAATCTGATTGTGTGTAAACTTGACTTTCAAGAAAAGTTATGACAATTTCTCAAACAATCTCTCTCTCTCATTATTCTGCTATTAACCACAACAGAAACACATGTGATCATCCTAGCTTACCTAAAAGAGAAAAGGTTTAGTCACATTAACATCTGACCTTTTTTTAAAAATCATTATGCGCCTTTTTAAAGTGTATATAAACTTTTGGTTTCAACTGTTTATATGTGTGTGTGTGTGTGTGTGTGTGTGTGTACGTGTTTTTGTGACATATCAGGACACAAATCAGTATAATGTCATAGGTATGACACAGGTATTACAAACAGGAGGTGAAATATGAGGACATCCTCATTTCTCAAAAAGCTTATAAGTCACATAGGATGAGTTTAATCAGAGAGTAAAGCTGCACAGTCTCTTGTGATGGTTGGGTTTAGGGGTGGGGTGAGGGCAATATAATATATGGTTTGGACCGTACAAAATGAATGGAAACCTATGTAATGTCCCCACTTTTCACAAAAACAAACATGTGTGTGTGTGTGTGTGTGTGCTTGTGTGTGTACTCACATGAGGATCGTTGTGTTGAGTCGCCACCTTGTGAAGCTCCAGTAAAGACAGATTGACACTCTTTTCCAGAGCCAGAGCACATTCTAGAGCTTCCAGACCACTGCCCCACTCATCCCGATCTGGCTTCTGTGCACATACACACACACACACACACACACACACACACACACACACACACACACACACACACACAGATGAAACCACAGAAACACACACACACAGATATACACACAGAGATGCATAGAAACACACACCGAGTTAGTTTGTCATGTTTTCTGGGCTCTTCCCATTGACATAATGATCTTTCTACTGTACAGACTGTATGTTCTCTCCCCCACCCCTAAACCAGCCCACTACATTTTAAAAACAATCAATACTGGATTAATTTTTATTTTATATTATTATTTATGTATTATTATTTGGCTTGAGTCCCCGAAAGACACACAGACACACTGATCTGCACCTTGATGTCCTGCAGGAAGATCCGTCCTCCTCTCTGGTTCTGCAGACTCATCAGCTTCTCCGCGTGCTCTCGCTCCTCCTTCGACTGATCGCGGAAAAACTTGGCAAAGTTGGGCAGAGACTTGTCATCTCTGTCGAAATAATAGCCCTGCAGAGAAGAGCAGACGCCATCATGAGCCCTGATGGAGACTCTTATATTCATATTTCTCTCACACACACACAGCTGACTCTCACCATGGACAGATACACATATGAGGCGTAGAGCTCCAGGTAAATCTGGCGGTTTATTGCCGCCTCACATTCCTGGTGGAAGTTCTGCCTCACCTGAGAACTCATGATTCTGAAACAAACACACACAAAATAAATATTATTATATAAAAAAAATCAATAATATTAAATGAGTATTATTAATATTAGGCCTGGAAAATATGTGTTATAACAGTATTATATAAATAAATAAATAAATATATATATATATATAAAAGCATCAATTTCGCAATCTGTGCATCTGCAATTGTCACATCGCAATATAAGCAATGTCGAGTCTGGATTAGTCTGGATAGTTGAATTTAGTTTAATTACTGTATTTATACAATTTATGCAAAAGTTCTTCTTACAATTTTTCTCATTTCTAGTCTAAATATCAACATTTTAAAGCAAAAACAAGATTATTTTACTCCACTGGCAGACAATTTTGCTTGTTTAAAAAAAAAAAATCTTAATGTTGCCTTATTTCTTCTGAAGTTGAAAACACAACTATATTTTTACTTGATCAAATTATTATTATTATTATTATTTTTTGATATTCGGACTACAACCAAGAGAAAGCAATGTAGGAAAAACTTTAATTTCTGTAACTTAATCCTGTTACACCTCCCAGAAAATTATCAAATAGAGCTATTTAAACCATCTTGTAAAACTGATTGTATTCATATAACAATATTTATTGCAGAAAATAAAATATAATATAATACTATATATATATATATATATATATATATATATATATATATATATATATATATATATATACATACATACAGATGAAGTTGAAATTATTAGCCCCTTTAAGCTATATTTTTTCTCGATAACCTACAGAACAAACCATCATTATACAATAACTTGCCTAATTCCTCTAACCTGCCAAGTTAACTTAATTAACCTAGTTAAGCCTTTAAATGTCACCTGAAGCTGTATAGAAGTGTCTAGAAAAATATGTAGTAAAATATTACTTACAGTCATCATGGTAAAGATAAAATAAATCAGTTATTAGAGATGAGTTATCAAAATTATTATGTTTAGAAATGTGTTGAAAAAATCTGCTCTCCGTTAAACAGAAATTGGGGAAAAAATAAACAAGCGGTCTAATAATTTAGGAGGGCTAATAATTCTGACTTCAACTGTATATATATATATATATATATATATATATATATATATATATATAAAAATGAGCAATTCTGTGCAAATGTCAACCTTGCCATGAAAAATTTAAGTTTTCACCAAAATACGGAAACCGTTTCTGTGTTTTTTGGGTAAGCAAGTATTTTACAGTACTTTAGAAATTCTCAAAAAGTCTCTGTCTGTGTTTTCACACTATTCTATTTGATTTACCAAAGTCACACAAGTGGCAATTTCACAACTGTCACATCCATAACGGAGAAATGCCACATCCATAACGACACTTTTTTTCCTCATAAATACGAAAATATTAAATTAAATTAATCATGTTTGTTCTATAGTGAGCTAACTCTTGTCCTTTTGATTATCATTTTTTTTTATTTTGGGTTTTGCAGTTTCATTCACAGAATTTCTACAAATCATGTTGTAAACTGTAAACTTGCAGACTTTTTTTGTCACATCCATAACGCATGTTTATTTTCCTCATTTAAAGTAAAAAACATGTTTACAGATTGATATTTTTCAGGTCCCATAACTCTGTGGTCAGTTGTTCTGGAAAATATAAACAAAAGTTTCAATATAATGTTAACGTGTACTTTCTATGCGAATTTATGTTTTGAGTTTTTACTGCAAATGTCACATCCATAACGCTGGAATTGCTCATATATATATATATATATATATATATATATATATATATATATATATATATATAAATATATACACACACACACACACACACACACACACACACACACACACAAATATGTGTGTGTGTGTGCTCAGCATAATAAGTACAGCTGGTTTAAAAAATTGTTTCCATTTCTTAGTGAATATAGGCGATGTATTTTGGTGCATTTAAACAAAACAGATTTATTAAACAGATATATTTAAAATATAATATTTTAGTCGCCAAACATATTTAAAAACTAAAAGATAATGCAATCAAATTCAAGATATATATTAAATAAAAAGTACAAACTACAAAATTTTAGCTCAATTTTTCTATTTCTTTGCTTCTCTTGATTTTTCCTTTTATTAAATTTGTATCTAATATTTTTTTCTAATATTTAAATTTGGCTGTACTAGTTTTTGGAGCGGTATTGTAAGTTATTTTGTTAGATGAGCTCCAGATTTGGCTTCAGTACTGACTAATCTAATGTACATGCTCAAATATAATATTGTAGAGCTATTAAACATATGAATTTAAAAGAGAGATTTGTGAAAGGTGTATTTATATATGTGATATAGATCTCACAATGCAATAATACCACAATGTAAGAATATATAATAATTCCTATTTGTTTAATATAACGTTAGATTGATGCACTTACCCTGAGTTAATATGAGCAGTCCTTGGCAAATGGCAAATGTAGGGCAACCCGCAATCTGTTCTTCTAGGTTAAAATAAACGCGACAGATCCACAACTGCAGACTGACACACAGGCAGACACTAATAAACAGAGTCTGGCTGCAGTGTGTTTAATAAAGAGTCGTGAATTATAGGCTTGTTGACATAAACATGCACACGCGCGCGTTATTCTGCCCCATAAATAAACCCCGAATAAGGCCACTTTTCAAAATAAAAGTCCTAAACTTTTAAAAAATAAATATATATTCAAAAATGACTTTATAAAAAGCACAAAATTGATTTTAATAATACTAAAAAATGTTAATCTACTCAAAAATACGCGGTAAGTATTTTTAAAGCACACGGGGTTTCTGAGTTATTCTAACCCACTTGATGTCGCTGTTTAATATAGAAGAGCCTGTAATATAAATATTAATAACATGTTACTAAAAGCGTCCAATCACTGAACATTATTAAGACTTTTGGTTACGCCCTCGTGTAAATCATTCGCTACTAGACAAAACACCAGCTTGGTCACGTCTGTTTTTTATCCAATCAGCTTGGACTGTTTGCTTACGTCCCATCAGAACGTCATTAATATTCATAAGCAAAACCTTCACAAAGCGAGTGGTGGAAAGTTTGAAAAGACAGAAATGGTAGACTGTAGCCCTCTGCATTCTCCACCTACTGTGTTTTTTGATTTAGAGACGACAGGCCTGGGTATGTGAATTTACTCCAAGTTCTCGTTAAATATGTGAAAATATGTCGAGTTTTGTACGAATGAAGCAGTCGTGTTTACCTTAGCTCAGCGTTTTGACAACATAAGATGTGTACAGCCGATACATCGTGTTTAGGCACCATTTTGTTAAATTCCAGGCTATACATGTGCATTTAAGTTGTTAAAATGTTGAAACATTACAATAGATAGATATAATTCCGAAAAAATAAAAAAAAGAGTAAAAAAAACTTTTTGACGGCAAATATTAATAATTTGTGCACAAACAGTCTCGTCTATGATCTTTCTCGTTTTAAATGATCTTATAATATATTGTTATTTGTTATATATATATATATATATATTTTATATATATATAATATATATATATATATATATATATATATTTATATATATATAAAAATATATATATATATATTTATTTATATATATATATATTTATTTATATATATATATATATATATATATATATAAATTGGCTATTTTATTGTTTAGTTCTATATAGTTGATATATTTTTATTCTAAATCATGTTGTAATAAAGTTATTAATGTGTTTATTTAATTTGTTAATGAACTCTTGATATATTCTCCTCCTCCAGACTCCTCGTGTGAAATCGTCCAGCTGGCTGCGGTGAGCGGAGGTCACACTTTTAACCTCTTCATGGTTCCCCGTCGGCCGTTCCAGCGCGGAGCCTCCAGAATCACAGGCTTTAGTGTAAAACATCAGCGTCTCTTCCTGCACCGCCGGCCTCTGCTCACCAGCTCCCTCAAAGAAGCCCTGCTGTCCTTCATCAGCTTCCTGCGCATGCTGGATCACCCGCTGCTCCTCGGACACAACATACGCAGGTACAGATCAAACTAGCTTGTTGAAATAGTCATCATCTACATCTATTGCAGTGTCGTTTTATAGATGAAGTTCCAATTGCCTTGTCTTTGGTCTTGTTTTGCATGCTTAATTGTACATTCTGCACAGATTATTATTATATGGAGTAGGGCTGCATGATATTGGGAACATCTGACAATGCAATATTTAGTTTTTCTGCGATTATATATTTTGATATGAATATAACTTGTTCACCAGATGACTTGAATAGCTCAATTTGTTAAAGGGCCATGAAACCCCCTGGTTTCAGCAGGGTGTTTTCACACCTCTTCTTTGGAAAAAGTCAGAAAAGTGGGCGTGTCCAGCTCTGTTTAGGGGGAGTGTCGGAGAAAGAAAAGAGGCATGGTGTGGGAGTGTCTATTTGTGCGCGCTGACTTTAAGAGTCAAAACACACACACACACATACACACACACACACACACAGGGGAGAAAGGGACTGTGTTTACATAGATATCTGTAGTCGAGCGTGTGTTATTCCGGTCACAAAATGCGGTGAAAATCCTACACGAGGTTAAAGTTTGGTTGTGGTGCTAACATGTTTACACTCGGTGCTATAGTTTGTTCGATACGAACAAACTGAATAAACAAAGAGCGCTGGTCGCTCACTTACCAAATCTGTAGAGACAGGACAATCACCAGCAACTAGAGCCGCGTCTTTATTAAGAGGAGACTACAAGCGAATCCGGATCTCAGCGTTTGCAGATGAGAACAGCTCTCAGGTAAACAATAATCCTCCTTGGACACGCAAGTTATTGTTGTCGAGCGTCGCGTACACTGTTAATCCACACGTGACTCCAGCTGAGCTCTCACAGAGAGAAAATGAAAACAAAACTTAACTGCAGTAAACTATAAAAGCAACACTTCACGCTTGTTTTGCCAATACAACGTGGCGTCTCTGTCGTCTAAACACTGTGACAGTAATGAATATTAATGAAGTTGCACAATAGAGCGCGCTGATTGGTTTAAACCAAGCTTTACTCATGCATTAATGCAGCACACTGTAAGATGTAATAAGACACACTCTGGCACAGACGTCCAGTCTGCACGCTGGAATACACGCTATTATGTCATGACCGTGACGCAGCTTCAAAAATTCGTTTCAAACCGGAAGAACGAATTTGCTTGAAATAACGCAAAAACAACCAATTTACACTTTTTAGTGAAATATAGGTGTCCTAATAGTGTTTTTATCAGTGTGGGACACGTATACGACTGTCAACAGCTCAAAAAAATGTGTTTCGTGACCCTTTAAGAACTTTGAATTTCATGTTGATTGGGATGACTTTGTAGTCTAGATAATCTGCATACATTTATTTTTGGGTAAGTCTAACTGTATTCGAGTGTAAGTTTAATAAGCAAATGTCAGAATAAAAATAGCATATTATTCATTAGATACAATATTAAATGCAATAAATTTTCATTGTTATAATTTCTGGTACACAAATGATTTAAATGCACTTGAATTCTTACAGTCGTAGACTTTAAAAACAAATCAAACAAGCGCTCTTTCACTGTATACGACAGGGGTGTCCAATCTGCTTGTTAAGTGTGACGTCACGCGGAGCGGCTTCCGGGTCCAAGCGCTCTATTTAACTGAATGGGGAGACTCATGAAATGGTAATAATAAACGTTTACAAAGCGATTTAATACTTTTGAAAATCACGATTGCAATATACATGTCCATGCCTAATATCTAGGCCCACACGGAATCTGCGCGTGCAGAAATCCGCAGATTTTCCACAGAATTCCGCAGATTTCTGCAGATTTTTAGCCAATTATTAATTCTGTTTGTTTACTTAAGTAAATGTGTAAATCTGAATTTCAGTTTTTATTTAGTAATTTATTACTTTTTATTTAATATATTAAGGTTTTAGTTATGATACTCCGCTGGATACTCCCAAAATAATTCCGCAGAAATCCGCAGATTTTTACCAAAATTCTCCGCAGAAATAGCAAAAAACGTCCGCAGATTCCGTCTGGCCCTACTAATATCATTTATTATATTATTATTATTTATTATATTATTTATTTATCTAAATGCAGCAAGCCAAGAGATTGTTGTGTACACTATGACTTTATGTAAAATTAACTTTAATGTGTGATAGGAATAAAAAGTGATCATAAACGGATGATTTCTCAACTCAAATGAGTGGCTTGGACCCGGAAATAGTATTACATACGTCACCAAAAAATCATCATCACTTAACAAGCGGATAGGGTTGTGTCGATAGACGATGCCATCCTCCATCACCGATGGCCGACAAACTTCTACGATGCTGAGCCGGCATCGCGATCCATCGCCCCGCCCCACATTAATATCGACATATAACCTGTTATTTGCATGTCATCTTAATAGCAATGATGGTATTTTCATGAGCTGTGTTAAATGTTACATATAGCTGCCGCTTGCACGGCTGACAGCATCATGAGGATTAAATGAAGCATTATACAGCACCTCTTGTGCTTAAAATGTGGAGATTACACATACGCAGACTTTACAGTGAATGGCTTTAGTCATTTTCATAGCGAACTTGGAGACACTGGAAGTCTTTTATCCACTCTTGGAAAAGTGTGAATGGGGGATTAACATTCAGCACATGATCACTAATAAGATGTGCCATTATTAGTAACTGCAGGTAAATCTGTCATTGTTATTTTTATTCTCTCATCTTCAGCGCTTCACATTTTCACGGTTGTAGCTCCTGTCATCTGAAGGCAGAAGGCATTGGTTGAGTGATTGACAGATCACTGTCAATTCCACTGATTGGAATGATTCACCAATCATTAGAAAAGCCATTAGAACAGGGGTGTCAAACTCAATTCCTGGAGGGTCGAAGCCCTGCACAGTTTAGTTCCAACCCTGCTCCAACACACTTACCTGTAGGTTTCAAACAAGCCCGAAGGACTCAATTAGTTTGATCAGGTGTGTTTAATTAGGGTTGGAACTAAACTGTGCAGAGCTGCGGCTCTTTTGGAACTGAGTTTGACACCTGTGCATTACAACGACACAGATCAAGGTGCCCTATTCATGCCAGAGTCCCGCGGAAAAAAGGGGATTGACAGGTGGTCATTTGTTTGTAAGTTTATTTATTTATGGTTTGGTTATGGGTAAAGCAAAGACCATGTGGGTCAGGTAGTGAAAACGGTAGGCTACAATTAATTAATTCTTTATGAATTAATTGATACTTAACAACGACCCCCGCCTACGACGACAATGGCATCGTCCATCGCGATGTTTCATATTAGACATCGCCCAACCCTAGTGTCCAAACTCAGTCCTGGAGGGCCGGTGTCCTGCAGATTTTAGTTCCAACGTGCCTCATCACACCTGCAAGGATGTTTCTAGAAAGCCTAGTAAGAGCTTGATTAGCTTGCCCAGGTGTGTCTGATTAGGATTGGAATTAAACTTTGCAGGACACAGGCCCTCCAAGACCGAGCTTGGACATGCCTGGTATAATGGTTAAACTTCACAATCACACAATTCTTTTTGCATTGCCCCTTATAACCAGCAGGTGTCCTCGGTGTGCTGTTTGTAGCACATACGACCAGTGAATCCAGCTCATGTAATCTACCTAATCAAACA